ACCCCTGCACACTGGGTCAGAGGTCCAAACAGTTGGCGGACGGTCTGAGAGGACAAATTCATTAGATCAATAACTCATTGAAAATGTTCTCCATCAACATTATCTTATTAAGAAATGTCTGAGATTGAATTAAATTGATTCTTCTATTTCTACTATAGCAAGAGGATTTAAATGCCCTCCTCTTGACTTATGAACTCCCTTTATCTATGATAATTCCTGTTTATTGCACATAATAATAGCTTTTAACTCTCCAATTTCATTGATGTGCATCAACATCCCTTTAACCCAGTCATAAGGGCCACAAAACCTAACAGGGAAGTGCACCAAAACTGTGTGCTGCGAGTGTGAAGATGTCAATGGCAATGCCAAATCAGCGGAGAACTATTCTAAGCAGCAACATGATGATACAGGTTTCAAACAAACCTCCTAGTTTTGCTCAATATATTTAGGAAAAAACAACAGACAAATTATTGTGATGGCCACAGCCACACATGGTAAAGCAATTACAGTATACTGCACCCTCATCTCCAATAGTTGCAGTCAACAATTAACACCACACTTTCGATTAAAATAGAAAACCCTTTATTTGCTTTAAACGTGACATTAGTATTTGCAAACATTTTAGCACAGGTATTTGTTTGTAATAATATTGTTCTTTGTCTTTGAGTTACCGTGTTCATTGGGGGAGGTTACTTCCTGGATCAGCAAAGGGTGTGGCTGAGGGTGGGGGACTAAATACTGCAAGCAGCCAATTTGGTCAAATTGGGTCAAACCATGTGATCCATGTCAAAGGATTGTCAGTGTTTTTAGGTATTCTGTTGATCTTAATTACCCATTGTTTTCTATTTGGTTTGGCCAAGCCACTATATATCTTCCTTGTTCCCTCCTTTTGTCAGGTCGGTTTGTTCAGTTAGAACAGTTGCTGTTAGAGTTATTTTCTGTTGACCTCTTCTATAGGTCTAGTTATGAAAGATTCTTGGCTTATGATATTTTTTTGGTTAAATATAAAACCCAGTTTCTTTAAAAACTCCTGTGGCTTACTGCTTGGTCCCTGACGATTATCATCCATCTAAATTGTTGGCTGTTTTCCAACCTGTAGCACCGAAGACTGTGTTCTCGGATAGAGGCAAAAACGGTGGTAAGTACAATGCTTTCAAAACAATTAAGGATGACCGAAACTGCAAAGTTGAAATGACATATCTTTTTAAGATGTCACTCGACAGGAAACATTTTATGAGAACTTTCCCCTGTCACTCTTCATCAGTCTTGACAAGACTTTTAGAGACTTTCAGACACTCAACAACGTACACAAACACATCATTCTCTGTCTCCTCTCTCCCTTTGTTCACTTAGTCTTTATACTTTTCTCTGTGTATCTAAAATCCACAGGCTCAGGCCAGGTGCAGCTGCGGGGCTGAGGTGGATCAGAGAGTTGATGATGGAAGACAGGAGGCTGTGTGTGTGTTCAAGAGGATTCTCCATGTGGTATATTGAGTGACACACTCCCTGCTGTGGGGAGGATGGGGTTGACAATGGACAGGGGAAAGAGGTTAACTGCTTGCATGCTCTCTCACACACACACACTCACATAAAATTGCTGTGTGACCCCGCTGGGCCACTGTAACTGAGAGGGTTAACACTCTATTACTTTACTACAGAGGCCAGAAACACATTTGGCTCCAACACCAATTGCGCCAAATGGACGCCGCCTCCAGCAGGCAACATAACGCACGCCAGGAAAACAACAAAGGGTGTATTTGTCAGTGTAAAGCTAACAACCACACCCCCGCCTCCCCCACCGTCCCACCAAATGAGGTGCTTGTTGCCTTCTGCCTCATCTGCATGTTCACACACTCAAGCATAAACACACATTGACCAAAACACATGCAGGCACCCACATGCACAAGTACAGATTGGAATCCTGTGGTAGAAGCGCCCCACTGAAAAGGGGCGATTATTTCCCAGTTGAATGAGCACCGTCTTTGTGACCTGAGCCGAAGAAAAGATGTGTTTGTGTGCTGTGGGCCTTTTGAGGAAAGTCTAGACGGTGGACAGCTCCTAGGCTAAACGCAACAGAAAAACATCAATAGTCAACACTGTAGAAAATGATTTCTACATTAAAAAACAATATAGACATTTGTGATTTTGTGTTTAACATGTTGTATCTAAGAAGAAAATGCAAGTTATAGTTTCCTAAGAAAAAGCATTAGTGTGTTCCTTTTTATGCCATTTCAGTGTCCTTTAAAGGAAAAATCTTATTAAATCCTCTTTGTTTGGGTCTGTACACATTTTTTTTTCTGCTTCCTACTCACATGTCCATCATTAAGACATTGAATAGACAACGTCAACCCTCCTACAGCTGTCTATCCACCCACATGCTTAGGGAAACAGGGGTCGTTATATATAAATAGGTTGTTTTTGGATTCAGACTCAGCAGTGTGCTCATCTCCATGTGAGCCTGTCATATTGGTGAGCACATATGTCTAGCACTGTATGGATGGATGGAAGCAACCCTGGCATTCTCTGCATCGACCCATATCTTTGGATATCTTTCATGCTGAGCTTAGTCAGGCCTGCATGTTGGAGTGGAGACACACACAAGCTCACAAAAATACACACACACACACACACGATTGCCCCATGCTTATTTTTGATGCGTATATGGATGGACCATGCAGCTCTCTCTCTATCTTCCTCCTCTGAAAAATCTCCCTGCTCCTGGATGCTGTGCAGTGGACAATACAGTTAACCAGTAGCATCATTTCTATGGCGGCTTATCTCAGATATAACAATACAGCCAGATGTCCTGGTCGATTTAAGTAAACGTCTGGTGAATTCCATCCACTCTGAATAGCCAAAAGATGGAGGGGGTATACTTATATAGCTTGACTCGTTGTACAGCAGGCAGCAAGACAGAACATGTAATTCTGTTAGCAATATAAATTCAGACGCAACTATTCATTTAAAATGCAGATCAACTCTTGTAATCGATAGAGTCACAGGCCTGTGACTGACTGTCCGCCTAACAATGAAACAACAACCTACAGACAAATCTTGCATATCATCAGCTTTATGGTGTATTTGTACCCCTGAAATATTCATGGTTAACAAATCAGGGTCCAAGATGACATGGAGTAGATTTTGGTTGTATAATGATTATTTACCCACAAACAGGTTACAGTTATCCAGTTCAATACAAAAGCATAGAATATTTTGTGGTTGTCAAGTTCCTATCAAACACCAGTCTCTGCCCTAACATGCATGAGGAGTTTCAGTAAATGGTTCTAGTTGTTGCCACTGGTTGTAAATCAAACCCTGTGTATCCACAAAAAGTGCTACCGTTTTTTGGAGCAAAAACTCTTTAAAGTTTAAGTGGCAACACACTGCCATGGCGGCATCAAAGCCCATGGCGCTGAGTAAATTAATGATGCTTAAGTAAATTATGGATTAATTATAGATAGCACAATGTGTCACTGGCATATATGCATATCTGACTGAGTGTCCAACCTCCAGTCATGCTAATGAATAGCTAACCTGCTTGGGTAGACAGAGGACAGATGGAAGACATACTTGGCATTGGCACTACACTGATGCTCTCACAAGCGTTATTGCCCTTGAGCAGAGAGAGCCTCTGATTAGGCTTCAATTAAGTTAGTTAGCCCGGAGCGAACACCAGCAAGCCAAGCTCAGGAATGCTAAAGGGACAGGACAAGAACAACAAGAACAACAACAACAATGGTACAAACAATCCAAAAATACTCTAATAGCTTTTTTATACACGGCTATTCAGCTTTGTCCCTGGAGCTGGAAAACTGGGCAAGACATCTCAAAAGCCTGAAAACAGACATTTGTTTTAGGCTGTATGAATGCGACCTCTTGAGTAAATGTTGTTGTTCAATATAAACATGTTCCCTCAGAAATGTGGGGTTTGCTTGGTATGCAAAATAGCACAATAAGTCATGAATCAATTGAGAACATTTGAATTAGCAACCATTTTAATAATCTAAATAGTTGCTGTAATGTCTTAAACAAATTACTAAACATTTGGTGTTTCCAGCTTCTCAAATGTGACAATTTGCTGATTTTCTCAGTTTTGTGAAATAATTACATTATGATAATTGGGTTTTGTACTGATAGTCAAACAAAATATGCTCTCCTGCGTCTTAGTCTTCAAACATGTTTGATGGCAATGTTCCACTTTTTTCTGTCATTCAATAGAACAAAAATACACATTGATAAGTGTGACGAGAATATAATTGTAGGAAAGATCGAATATTATAACCATGAGTTAGTCCTATTTTTTGTGAGAGAGATCACATCTGCAGCATTTTGTCTTCATAATTGGTGAAACAAAAGAATGAAAAACAAAGAATGCTGCCTCATTGTTTTATACCTGAGCTATAATTTATCCAGGTTATGGTTAGAGGCACGTGCTGGCCCACAGATATAGAGTGTCAGGTGCAAAATAGACCATGATAAACACTGCACTTCCAATATAGTTACCTTTGCACAACACCAAATAATTGATTGGCTATTTAACTGCATTGAAAATTAAACAATTATAAAACATCTCCATCATAGAAACACTTTTATGTAGAGACATTGTGACTGCAATCATCAATAACACATTTTAGAGTCAAATTCATATTGACATTGTAGATAAATAGTGGAGTCACACTTTGAATAGACGACATCTGTAATTCAGTCAGAGATTTGAGGATTTTTTTTGGTCAGGACTGGCCAAGTTATTCCAAAAATCCAGGAAATTACAAATGTATTGTGTAGTTTCATTTATTGTTGAGTACAGTTGTGCTTTCGATAAAGCATAACTCCAACTACCGTATCCGAACATTTCAGAATAAGCACATGTCCCTGTCAAACACTCAAATGGTCTAATGTGCTATAAAAAAAAGTAGCCTATACTGTAATGTGGCATAACTACGAACTCAATATTATATCCCTGAATGCTTGCATGCTTTAGAGAAACACAGCGCTCTTACCGTCCACAGCCATGCTCGGTCTCAGCGTGTATCTCTCCGTGGTGTCAACAGGGCTCTCCCATTCTTCTGCCGGATGGATAAAATGTTCTGAGTAAAATAAAGAGCGCTTCTTGACCCCTGGTACCTTTCTACGTGAGCATGGAGACGGCTCTCACTGTAGTCGTATACAGAAAAAAGAGAGCAGAAACAAGAATCACACTCTCCCTCTCTGTCGGTTCACGGCCATTTGTTGTCCGGGACACCGGGACCAGTCCGATATGAAGCGGCTCCTCCTGAGTCCCCGCCCCCCTCTCCGTGTACCTGACCGCCGGGAGACAAAAGGTCATTACGCCCCGAGACAAGCTGTTAGTGGATACAGATACTGCCCCCCATCCTCCTCTCTCTCTCTCTCTCTCTCTCTCTCTCTCTCTCTCTCTCTCTCTCTCTCTCTCTCTCTCTCTCTCTCTCTCTCTCTCTCTCTCTCTCTCTCTCTCTCTCTCTCTCTCTCTCTCTCTCTCTCTTTCACACGCACACACTCACATACACACACAAATATAAACACACTCCTCATCATAGCAGCAATGATGGGATACATGTGAGATATTTTTTATCACTGACAATGTTGCAGAAAAGTGTAATATTTTAACCCCAATATCATAATAACAGAGAGACACTCAACACTGACACAAACAACCATAATTTAAGTTGTGGGCGGCACCATACACTTTGCGACATACAAAAAGGATTACATTTTGGTGTGATATTCCTGTATAGTGACTGAGCTGAAAAAAGTTTGTCCACCAATAAAACTTAGCCACAAAGAAGGAAAATCAGTGTGCCTGCCTCTCAGTCCACAGCATTTGAGATGGTGCTTACACTTAGATGATGGCAAGCTGGGTGTAAATCCTTTTTGTCCTTTATAATGGCCAAGATAAAGCTTTGCACAACGCTTCTGTTCTGGAGGTCTCTGGTGGGGGCAAGGAGCAAAGCTTCCTAGTTTTCTCTTAAAAAACCTTTAACAGAGGATATGAAATACTTGCCTCAGAGTCTGACTGATAGTAAACACAGAAAGTAGTCACAGAGGAATCTCTCTATATGTCTCCCTTTATTGTATAGTGGCAGCAATGAAAAGAGCACAGTGTGCACCTTGTCCTTTTATGTGTGCAGGTTGCAAACTTGCAGAGACAAACCCTCATCTTGCCTTCAACCAATGCTTCTGTAGGCAAACAAGCTAAAACAAAAGTGAGCCTTCCTCTGACATAAACAAACCATGCATTCATGAATAAAGCAAGTGAGTCAGTCAGCATGTTGACAATATGGATAAGCAACAGTATGCTATGCAGTTCTTTGTGTTTACTTTCAGTCAAACTTTCAGACAAGCGCTAAGTTGATTTTCCTTTTTCTTTTTTTAAGCATTAGGAGATTTGCACTCCTTGACCCCAAAGTTTTCAAATTCTCTTCAAGGGTGTATGTGAGTTAAACATTTATAATGGAATTTCGTATGAAAATATCCTCCAGTTTGGGACATATTGAAATGTAGTATTGTGCTTCAATCAAATTGGAGCAAATGACAGATTGAATAATATAAATATTAAAGAAATACAATCATATGAAATTGTCAACATCAAGAAGCAGATCTGAGTTGTGGAGCTTCAAAACTGCTAGATCCTTCATGCTAGACTGACCTTGGGAGTGTTCAAATTCATAAGTAAGGAGGCAGGAGAGACAGAAATGTAGTTACAAACAGGGGTGCTATAGTCATACCTGTTTTACATCAAATACCAAAACACAAACACCGAATATAAATCTAAAATATATTAACCACCCTCTAACCCAACCCTGTTTGGTTCATTTCCCATAATGCTATCTATCATAACTATAATTAGCCTAACTTTGGTTATCAAATCATCTTTCAAAATCCACATCCTGTGTATGCAAAGCTGGCTTTCTGTCAATAATTTGACATTAGGGTTATTTTCCCAGACTTTAGAATGCTTTAAACAACATTGTGCAGCTGCTTTTACATGTCTAATATTACTTTATGATGAATCAACAGAGATTTTTGTGTTTCAATTGTGCCCCTTTTAAGGATATGAGCTTGAAACAGAAGAAAAGTCAAGAGCATGTGTGGGCTACCATCTCTGCAAACACGTGATCTTTGCACAAACCTAGAAACAGAAAGAAGGAGTTCCACTAGATGCTTGCAGAAAATCCTAAAAACAGCTGTCCCTCAGCAGACACCCACGTCAGCTGCTATTTGCCCGTCAAACCGCAGAGCTTCACTTCAAAGCTGAGAATTTGGGAACAAGTTGTGAACGCTTCTTTGTCAATATAATCTCACAGCATACCTCGCTAATTGATTCTAGTGCCGTTCTGATGCAAGCAGACTGCTCTATGCCGGTGCTTTTTAGTGTAGAACAGAAACAATCTGTCCTGAAAGACTTCAAGAACGTCCATCAGTCTGTGTTGGAAGATGAGGGCCATCCCCAGAGTCCAGGCACTGGAGCATCAAAGGGTGAACAACAAGGAACAAAGGACTAGCTGGTCCATCAGGGCTCCACTAGAACACATGCTCACTTGGACCGAAGCACTATATGCACAAAGAGGATATGGTACACACTCTTGCACTTACTGTATATCTCAACACACACAAGTTTGTAGACACACACTAATCCACACATGTGTACGCATTCACTCATGCTCTCAAACACAGGACTTAATTTAGAAGTGTGCTACTGCGTGCCTGTAAGGACATTTTGTCCTGTCAAAAATTGAGTAGACAAAGCTTGTATCTTTAATTTAGAAGATGGTCAGTGCAGTGAATAATAAATAGTCTGTGAGCTGCAAAGATCAAGGGATTTGACTTACACAAAATCGGTCTATTAGCTGACAGGTGGCAGAAGAAAACAAAATAGTCTAGTGAAAATGAGTGTTTGTAGTGTTGTGTGGCACGGCACAGATAAACATGAGGGAATAGTAGCTCAAGGGAATGGGAAGTGTTAGTGTTTTTTATTTATTCTTTACCCTGTAGTTGAGAGTTCGGTTGAAGCATCATTTCTTGTTGATAAGCAATTGTGCAAGGGAAGAATAATGGGAACTCAGTAAGTGTTGGTGTCTCTATACAGGCTATACATTACACACTGTTACAAACAGATGATGCCATTGCACTTTTATTGTCAGTGTTATGCCATCACATATGGCCTGTTCTGCTTGTGCCAAGAGGCCTTTACTCTTTGCTGAGACGGTGTTACACACATGCATAGAGAAATACTCACACATTCAAAGTGCTTCACACTTTGGAAAACAGCTGCAGGATGAAAAATAAACTGTATGTTTGAACAGAGACATAATAAAAGGATGAAATAGGGGTGTTTAGAGCCTGGGCTCCGTCTCTTTCTGGAGAGGTAGAGAGAAAGAAGGCACTTTCTCAAGAGACATAGAGAAGCTATTGATACTGGAGTGTGGCATCATCCTTGCCAAAGCTGGTGTCATAGTGAATGGCTGTCACTGAGTTGGCAGTGAGATATAATGGTTCCAAATAGGACAGAAAAAATGGAAAGAAAAGAGCAGTTGAGGAAAGACTGGACTAACCTTGGGAGCATCTACATTCTCAGATTCAAAGAGGTTGTATTTCAATAGAACATAAGCGTTCTCTGCTGCCTGCTCTTAATCTGATCTGAAAGGGAAGGCTCTTTCAGGTGGAAGTGAAAGCAATCTAATGAATTCCCACAGGAAGCTATTTACTCCACCGAGATGAGTGCAGATGATAGAGAGGAATCCACTTTATAGTGTTAAGTTGTGGCCCTGAGCTGTTTTCCTAATCAGAGACCTGGGAGTACGGAGTTTTACGTAATTCCGTGCGCATATTGAAGAGAAGTCTCCTTTGAAAAAGCCGTGTCCCCTCTCTGGATTTATTCAGGATGTGGAGCAAAATAACCTATTGAGAGATATATTCCTTTAGCCAGCCGCTGATCATCACCTCTTGCCTCCTGCTCTACACCCTTAATGTGTGAATGTGTGTGTGATGTATTTGTGCTTATGGGTGTGTGTGCCTATGTGCATGGAGAGAAAGGTGGGAAAGGGAGTCGATTCACATTCCACTCACTCCCTTATGGTGACCTCACTGTTATGCAAATGTCCACAATATAAGAGATAGGGTCTGAAGCTGAGCTGTGCTACAAACACTCTCTCTTACACACAAACACACACACCCACACTATGGTTTGGGAACATCTTTAGGCACATCTGTTTTTTCTTACACAGTGCCTGTTTCCCCCCTTGTGAATCAAAGTCTTTACTGAACAAGGAAAAATGCCATCCTGAGCCTTTGGCTGAATGTCATTGATTCCTTTGATAATGTGGCACAGAAACAGTTGCTTGAAGAGTGTTATTGTGTGCTTATGTGTCACAATGAGATACATAGAGTAATAGAGACAAAAACATTATGTTTCTTTATACAGATAGGCACAATATAAAGAAATGTAATACATAAAAATGACAGATGTAGATAGGAAAAGGCATTCACATCCTATTATGGTGTGTGACATTCAGACACATGCCTAACCAGTGTCCCTGTTGTGCTGTGGGGAACATGTTCTCCCTGCTTTGGGTCCATTCTTGTCTTCTCTGAGGGAAATGTCGCTGCAAATCAATACACATTTATTCCGAGTCATTATCTTATTTAAACAATGAAACATTTCTAGCCTGATGAGTGATCTCTTTCAGTACGACAATGCCCCCATCAGCAGGGCACAAGAGGGCACCGAATGGTTTGATGAGTATGACAATTATGTGAATCATATGCTAGGAGCTTGGTCGTCATCATACTTCAACACAATTGAACAGTAGGGAAGATGTTCTGTCAGCTTGTCCCAACAACTTAGTATGACGAACTGCAATTTTAAACCACCTCTCTCAAACAGTGTGGATGTATTTGGAAGCTGGACTGGATGAACAGTTTGGGATTTTAAATCAAACAGACTGAGAAAAGAGATGTAGTCAGAGCAAGCAGAGGCGAAACCTAAAAATAAAGGCTTTGTGAAAACTAAAGCTAATGATAATAACATTCCCTGCAAGTCAAAAAGAAAAGAAAGGCAACAATTGCACAATCATCCCTTCTCATCTCCAGTCTCGTCTATTGAAAGTCAATGCCCTTGGAGGTCTCTCTTGTCTTTCTCCAGAGATTGTTTCTTTTAAGTATGGTTGCTTTAATAAAAGTTGATGCATCTTTCTTTTGCTAGAATTTGTACTTTATAAAGTTTCTGTACAAGGGACTCGGTTCTTGGACACTTTAACGATGCCTTTACTT